ACTCGGCGATAAGATGCTCCGAGATTGCGCCATTCAGTCAAGCGTCTTTGGCAATTCCCAATGACAACAATTTCATCTTCCTGCCTCTATCTTGATAATGATGAAAAAGGCACGAAAAGTGCACAAACAAACATTCAAAGGATGTCTTTGACTTTGCACCTGTCGCTAGCTTGGTTGGTGTCTCGTTTAATCAGACGTTAGATATCGCCTCTCTGGTCCGTTTGCGCTCGGCATTATCCGTCCGGTAGGCTAGGAATGTGAGCAGTCATGAATCTTCTCCACCGTGACACAAGTTTTCATCGCTTCTTCTCTCCACTTCTTTATGCTTATAGATCAATTGCTATTCATATGCCATGACCTGCTAATCCTTTCCCTCTGTCTCTCTGTCTCTTTCTTCCTATGTAATTCCCTCTCCCTCTCTCTCCGGCGCCCCAACTGCCCCGTAGGCATTGGGAGACCTTGTCTAACTTGGCAACAAAGAACCTTCTCACGCCAAGCTTCTACTTGCCTTCTCTAACAGGCTTTCGTCTCTTATGACTTATTCCTAACAGATATAATCAATTGATCAGTACTATTTACGACATAGACATGCCGTCCCCAGAAGAGTCCCATACACCAGCCTCACACGAAGAAGAAAGCTCCAGAGATCAAAGTGCCGAGTCCAGCAAGCAACATTCTAGAGAAGGATCAAGGCCACCCAAGAAAAGGCACAATGTACGCTTCACGCCAGGAGGGGAGTCATTGGACACTTCAAACAAGAGGGCCGCTTTCGATCTTCGAGATGATACCAACCCACCTCCCAGGCCGAAGCCTTTACCCAGGACAAGATCTAACACAGTGAGAAGAAACAGTTCATATTCAGGCGCCCCTGCGCCTAACCCTGAGAAGTCTTTGGACATCACGGAATCGTCTGCTAAAGCACCAGTCCCCAGACCCAAACCTTCGATAATGAGACTGCCTTCAAGTGACTCAGAACCGGAAGACAGTGACACCAATCCTGATTATGAGGAAAACAAGGAGGATGAAGACGAAAGGAAGGAGGATGAGAAAGCAGTGGGAAAAGCTATATCACAGCAGACGGCACACGACAGGGCCGAACGTCTTTCCCGTATGATGGGCAGTCACTCTGCCCCTGGTTCCAGGTTTGCGTCTCCCCAAAGACCGCAGAGGACAGTCGCCAGATCACCACCTTCATCTCCACCTCCATCTCCGCCTCCCGAAAGAGCAAGGCAAATGAGGCTGGATTTGAGCGACATTCACCTGGAAAGGCTAGAAACCAGACGAAGGAAGTTTGGGATAGAAGACGACACGGATGAAGACGATGAAAAGGAAGCCGAGACTTTGTCATTGAAGAGAGGGAAACAGAGGGCAGGTCGATACTACGCTAGGGCTGCTCGTTTGATTGCGCATCATAAGTCACCACAGATACCACGATTGTTCAGACTTCACGCCGAGACGCCGCCCGGGACGGCCTCAGGTGTTCAAACACCTATGTATGAACGTGATCCCAACCACTACGTGCCCAGGCCCAAGGAGTACCGTGAAGGTTACCTCTCCTCACTCCTAAAACTCTACAATGAGCAGGGAGCTGGAATTGCTCTGTCTCATATACCTTCTGGTCACGATGCCATTACTCGAGCAGCACATCGACGCGACAGTGCCGCCCAGTCTTTGAATGGATCAACAGCTTCAGGAGCAACAACGCCTGCACAGACCCCAGGAACGTCACCGGCCGGCTCGCCAACATCTTCCGGCGCTACTACTCCGAAAGCAAAGCATCAGAAGTGGTATTATAAGAACTCTCAGAGCCAGTCTACTGGGGCTTTGTCAGATCTTGTTAGCTCATCTACTGTCTTTGCTCAGCCAACAACGGGTTCTAGTCAGACATCAAAGGCTATCAGACCAAAAGCGAAGCACAGGCCGTTGAGCGCTCAGGCTTTGGATACCGTTATGGGCAAGAAAAAGAAGGGCCACAGAAATGACGACTCGATCCGGATCCAAGTACACATTGCAGAGACAATGCAAAGGCAAGGCTATCTTATTAAGATTTGCAGGGCTCTTATGACATATGGAGCACCGACACATCGGCTCGAAGGTGGGTATCGTTTCAAAGCAAGACTTTTCCGCTGCTGACACAATTACACAGAGTATATGCGTATGTCATCTAGAGTCCTTGAAATTGACGGCCAGTTCCTTTACATTCCTGGCTGTATGATCGTCTCCTTTGACGATCAATCAACGCATACGACAGAGGTCAAAATAGTCCGTGCTACACAAGGTGTCAACCTTGGGAAGCTTCGCGATACTCATGAGGTGTATAAAGAGGTGGTCCACGATACGATAGGCGTCGAGGAAGCGATGGAACGTCTGGACGAGATCATACGCAAGAAGGATGATTATAGTCCGTGGTTTCGCGTGATTATATATGGATTCGCCAGCATGTGTGTTGGACCATTCGCTTTCGGTGCTCGTCCGATCGACATGCCCATAGCTTTCTTTCTAGGCTGTCTCTTGGGAGTCATGCAACTCATACTTGCCCCGCGATCGGAGCTCTACTCGAACATTTTCGAAATCTCTGCCGCCGTCCTGACCAGCTTCCTCGCTCGAGCCTTTGGTTCCATTAGGGGTAGCCAACTCTTCTGTTTTTCCGCTCTCGCTCAGTCCTCCATCGCCTTGATTCTACCTGGCTACACAATCCTTTGTGGCTCTCTTGAGCTTCAGTCGCGGAACATAGTCGCTGGTTCCGTACGTATGATCTACGCTGTAATATACTCTTTGTTTCTCGGCTTTGGCATCACGATCGGCACCGCGATTTTTGGTGCTATCGATAAAAACGCGACCAACAACACTACTTGCATGACAACCATGCCGGTCTGGTTCAAATTTATCTTCGTGCCTCCCTTCACGCTCTGTCTCATCGTCATCAACCAGGGCAGGTACAAGCAAATGCCGATAATGCTCGTCATCGCCTTTGCCGGGTACCTCGTCAACCACTTCTCGGCCAACCGCTTCTCTTCGAACGCCCAGATAGCAAACACGCTCGGCGCTCTCGCCATCGGTGTCATCGGAAACCTATATAGTCGTCTCCGCCATGGCCTGGCAGCAGCTGCGCTGCTACCAGCCATCTTCGTGCAAGTGCCTTCGGGCCTCGCCGCAGGAGGCAGTCTGATCAGCGGGCTGACGTCCGCAAATCAGCTTACAAAGCAAACGGTCAATGGCACCGCGAGCAATGGGACGACCACTATCAGTAACGCAACCAGCGCTTCAACTGTCAACGTCAACAGTGATGTCCTCAATGTCGCATACAGCATGATTCAAATCGCGATTGGAATCACGGTGGGTCTGTTCATGAGTGCTCTCGTTGTCTATCCTTTTGGAAAGAGAAGAAGCGGGTTGTTTAGTTTTTGATCCGCTTTCATCAACATGGGTTGGAATCTATCTGCTAGAACAAAACCAAGCTTTTGAATATTTGTTGCACGCATAGCGATGGGGTTTCTGCTTCAGCATAGCGCTTGTGCGAGGCCACGCTTACGAAATGTAACATGATCTTGGATACGAAGGCTACGATAAGTGAGGTTGGATGGGCCACGCCGCTGGGATAATGAAGGGTAGCAGTTGTACAGATACACGCAAAATGACCATTTCATATTCCTCCTCTGTAAGGCGCAATAATGTCCACCGCGATGTATTAGCGTCAACATACACACGTCCCCGGGGCGAATATGCCTCGACTCTACCAAAATTGCCCATTGTGAAGCCTTACCACACAACTCTGCGAAGAGTGCCAGCCCGAACCCACCACCTGTCGAATAGATGAAGAACCTATCCATAATCCCAAGAAAACACAGCACACAACGCCTCTCCCCCCCCCCCACCTCACAAAACGTCCACGCCTCCACTTTCCCCATCGCCTATAGAAACCACACCCCCAGCCCCCACCCCATCCGCACGACAAAAACCCTTCCCTCACAAACGCCTGCACGCCCATCTTCCCCACCCAAAAGACACCCCCCCTCGGGCAACCTCCCCCCCCCCTCCGCAGCGCCCACTCGCCCAATCACCTCAACACGGTCGCCAGATAGCCGTCGACCCGTCTCACACCGTGACGGTTGAAAGGAAGAAAGAAGAAGGAAGAAGAAAACAGTCTCAAAGGATCTGAACGTCAGAAAAAGAGAAAGCAAGATATGAACAACCCCATACCATCCTCCCCTCCGACGGCGGCGACTGACAGACATATCTCGCGCCGAGATAAACAAACGGTTCCCTCGAGGCATTACCGCGACCGAAGAAACACGGCGTGAGGGCGTAGAGGCCGAGGTCCGTGTCCGTCGACGACAATTTGGTGCCGTTGATGACTTGCCAGCTGCAGACGAGGAGGGACTGATTCGGGAGGGTGAGGTTCGAGGGGGTCCGCGGTGAGGTCGATGGAGAGGGGAATGGCGCCGGGGCCGCGGCGGGAACCGTAGACGGGGATGTCGTGGTGGAGGATGGGGGATTGGGATTGGGATTGGGAGCAGGGGGAGGTTGTGTTAGGTGGGGATTGGGGGAGAGGCGGTTGCATGGATGCTGAGAGGTTTGTAGTCCAGCACAGGTCATTGTTGTTGTTGTTGTTGTTGTTAGTGAAGGGAATTGACGCTTGAACAGGAGCTGGAGATGAAGCTGGCGAAGCGATTCCTAGCAAGAGCGCTAGGATTGGTGGTAGAAATGTCTGCGTAAAAGACATGCTGTGTATGAATGAATGGGCAAAAGGGTTCAAATTGTTCGGAAAGCAGTCTTGAGTGTCTGAGATAGTGTTGACTTGAAGAGAATGGGATATCGCTTTTAAGCACGGACTTGGAGGATTCGTACTTGCATGCACGCGATGTGCGTTCAGCAAGCGAGCAACGATAGAAGGAGACCATGAGATGGATTGATCAAATGCGAGAACAAGCTGCCGTAAGAGAGGGAAAGCGGTATGCAGAAATAGTATGCTGGTGATTGATATCCGAGCTTGTCGTTGGTTATGCGCCGCAAGCTGAACCTCTAGGCATATCTACCCATCCAGACCTTAGCATCTCCTCGCCCATTCTATTCTTACCCTCGTTCTTCGTAATGTCTTCCACGGCCTTGATCAAATCGTAGTTTATGCCCTCGCTGACAACGCTGTCGGCTTTGTAATCTTGATGACTATGTACGAAATGCCGAATCCATTTCGCGCCTGTCCATAGCTGACCAGAAGCACGTTTGCGGATCAAGTCAAGATACCGAGCTAGCTCGCAACGTGTCTCGACGTCGATGTTCACGCTGTTGAGGTAGGATTCTACAAGTGGAATCAGGCCGGGAAAGCCTTCACCAGACTGGCCGTTAATGATCTCGTCAATGGTCATCAGAGAATGTTCATCTTCGACTGGTCCTGTGGGTGTTGGTGGTCGAGAGGGCTGGTAAGCTGGTGTGGTAGTGCCTGATGTACCATTCGCTTTCATTGGTCGAGGCGGAAGAGGGTCATTGCGGAAATGGAATTTCTGGTCAAGGACTGCATTTCGGGCGTGGGCCGTTTCCATGTTTGCTGTTGTGAGAGGTATCGGTATGTAGAAATTGAGATCGAAGCTGAGGATGGCGCGAGTGATTAGCACAATGAAGATACAGAAGGCGGCATTTTCGAAGTCAGTGATTTGTATTTCCATGGGACGAAACTCGACTCGCCACCCAGTGTCCTTGTCGTGTGGCGGAGGCTTGAAGCGTAAGTGTTGCCAATTTGTCGATTGAAGATTCTCAAAGTGGTCGGTCTTATTCAGATCGAGTTCTTTGAGATCTTCGGCAAAGATGACGATAGGGTCTCGGATGAAGAGGTGAGCGAAGTGTGTAGCTAGCAAAGCATCCATTCCGCCGTTCATGAGCTGCTGTTTTAGGTCTTCATCCACGACAAGGTCAGGATCCATGTATTCTTTCCGTAACCGAGGATCCTGCGAGATGTATGTAGAATTTGAAGCATATCTCGACTTTGGTACTCGCCATCGGTCATGTTTTACTGGCTGTGGGAAGTCAGTGGCCATCCAAAGCCGTGCGCTTTGGAAATGCTTACGGCTTCACCGAGCTCTTCGGGTGTTCGATCGTCTACTGCTCGGCTAATCTGATTCCACCTCACGTCTGTGTCTGCAAGGAAGCCTTTGTATATTGGCGTTGCAGCAGTCAGTGCCAACATTATAGGACCCAATGGGCTGAGCTGATCGTACAGCTTTCGACCTTCAGTGATGTTCTTGGCTTGGAAAGTGATCTGCAAGCAACAACTACCCATTCCAAATGCCATAGCGTCCATGTAAATGTGATTATCCTTCGCCGCACCATTTCGTACATCGTCATCCTCGGGCCATTTGTGCATATCGTAATCGACTGTGGGGTCTATGAAAGGGACTGGAGTGTTCTCGTCTTTGAAGATGGGCACGTTGATCTCAACCTTCCGTCCTCTCCGGGATCGAATGTTTGCAGCCAATGTAGGGAAGCGGATGTGGGGGTTCGCAATCTCGTCAGGAAGGAACTGTGACCGTAATCTCTCGCCAGAAGGTGGGTAATAGGGAGCGATGAAGTCGTCCCTGGTGCCCAATCGAGGGAAGGTCGTCAGAGTTATTGGGTACTCGTTCGATTCCATGTGCTCTTTGGCTATGATCCGCCTTTGAACATGTCAGCTCTAACCCTTTTTGACAGGGTCAATAGTGATATTGACCAACCGCCATTTCATGTTGGGTTCCACATCCAGCAGGTCCTTGAATCCGATCCCCCAAGGTTTCCCAGGTGTCGCTTCCAACATGAACCTACCAAACTCGGGGTGGAAGACTGGTATTGCATCACCGGTGCTCTTTATAGTCTGAAGGTCCGGTACGCATCCTCCCTGCTTGCTCAAGGCTTCATCTTCTGCCAGAGCCTTGAGAATGTCCGCTTGTCTCAGAGACAGCCTGACTTTTCGACGCTCTTCTTCAAAAGCCACGACGAGGTATTCTATTTCATCACCCCATCGCAGAGCGTCTCTTTCTTTGCCCTTTGCGCGCTTCCATATTGCTAGCAACTGCTCAATCCCCCATTGGCGGACATGGTCTGCGTTCTTCTTGGCTTCGGGCCAATCCAAAGGGGTCCCAAGGGCTCTAATGAGAGACTGGTGATCAGCTTGGAAGTGATAGGTAGTCCTAGCATACGAAGTAATTGAACTTACAAGAGCCCCATCCCCACGAAGCCGCAAGCAAGTAGTCTGCGTCGTCTATTAGTAGCTCTTGTTGTTGAGTGGAGTCTCAAATGGCAGGAAGAGCGCCAGAGGCAAAAGTAGTACGGCGCTCAGTCGAGGCAGTCTCATTGAAGGTCAATCGGCAGAAGGAATAGTAATGCAACTGATAGACTTTTGGCGAAGGACTCCCCTACGTTGGCGCTATGGTCCGGTAAAGTAAAGTATGTATTAAGGAACCAATTGCGCCTTCACTGTCGACTTGGACGCCGCTCCCGCTGGTTCAGCGTTCCGCGAGTGATAGGGATGTTGCTGCAAGAGCCGGCGACTGTCTGACAGCAAGTGAAATGTTGAGGGAGGCATGTTGGTATGAAGTATGAGTGACGGTATTGATTACAAACCTTCCTACTTCCCACTTGTGGAGGAAGGCACGGGATGACGATCTCGTCTCTAGCTTCCGCCCGCGGGATAAAAGGATGAACCTCCGCTTGTCATTGACTGCTTTCCGGTACTTTGATACCATGTCTACTCCGTCTCTTTGTATGTTGCTGAAGGCTGTCATGATTGTAGGAGGGAGTTCGTTGTGGTCGTCTGCATTGCTGAGGGCATTTCTTTGGGGGCTAACGTCACCGAGATAAGGCAGCTATAGCTCAACTCCCGAAGCTGCTTACGCATTGGCCCTCGTCAAGCAGTCAACTATGTAGAACGAAGGGTCCGGGCGTTGGTCTGTACATTTTTTGGAGTTTTTGGACCTACCTGAATGCCCTTCTCCGCATTCCTCCACCAATGGCAAAGCACAGCTTTCGGAATGCACATAGCTCAAATCTCAGTCAGTCAAGCCATGTCACACTTCTGTGGTGCTCGGTAAATATCTTCTTTCATGAGTATCAGAGTATCACAAACAGATGAAGATAAGATATCCGCATCCCGTCTCTTCTTCAGCATCTCTTTAGATTTATCAATCGTCTTCCATCTTCCTTCCAGGCCTATTGTGAGCTCAGACGGACAGCTGCATGTGGCTTGTGCAGATGCCGAGTGTGACCAACGGAGGGTCTGCCCGACTAGCTGTCCCATCGTCTTCGGGACTACATCATCACTGGGAAGACGACATTATCCCATGTTTCCTTAGTAAACGTCACCCTTTCTGTCTCAACCATCGAGTTCAGCACCAGTACCAAGCTTCCACCATCAGCAAGCTCACATCGATCCTATCTCCCGACGATCGATTGTAATTCTCCTACTACTTGCTTCTCAATTCTTCAGGCTCGGTTTTATCTTTCTGCTCTGCGGTTTACCACCAACAGCATTCATTGTTCAGCTTTACACACTATACCCTCCTACAAGATAAATCAAATACGGGTAAGCGGACCTCTCTACCTCCTCTCACGCAGTATCTACGGCATCAATAGTTTACGCACCCTCCAGATCCACGATCCCAAGCACAGTAGCCATGTCATCTTTGCCCAAGAACCTCGAGATCACCATTACCACAGAGCGGCCTGACGTGTCGAACAAGACGTCCGAGCCATCCGAATCTACCACCAAGACCAGCAACAAGCCCGAGAAGCCGGACCACAACAAGAACATGCTCCTCCCTCCTCATACCCCACCCTATCACACCGGCGCCAAGAAAGAGCCAGGGACCGAGGATGAGGCCTGCGAGGATGCCATCGCTAGCGGTGATGCAACGCCTAGCTGGGAAGGGGTTTGGCGCAAAGACCGCCGTGATACCAAGCATCAGGGGCCTGGTGGAGCTTCTTAGTGGCAACGAAACGGAGATGTTGCGTGTGGTATTGCAAGTGGACACGGACGAGTGGTACGGCCTTGTGCAGGCAGTGGTCAAGATACCTTATTGCTTAAGGTAGACAAACGGTATGCTCACTTGAGGATTGTGAATTCTGTAGTGCTGACAATGTGTATTCTAGGGCTGTTGTCCTGCAAAGCATGCTCACACGCTTATCTATCCGCTTCATGCATCTTCAATAAACGCTTCTCTTAATGAAATGCGCGCTTGATACAAGGGCTGATACGTCTATGAAACAAACCCAACGCACGTCAATCCTCGTACATCCCTTTACTCCAACCCTTTCCTCTCGTACATTCTCACCCAGGTAAAGTCAACCGCTCCGGCGCCATCGCATACCTCAACTCTCCCTCCGTGATCGCCTGCCCATCCCCGCTAAAATCCGGCATCTCCTCCACATTGATGCCCCCAGCATTGAACCTCGAATTCGTCGAGCACAGCTCCACAATCGATGAGAACCTACGCTCGCACTGCCCCAGGAACGGAACGGTAACCCCGTCGGGCAGATAATATCCCAGCGAGCAGCCGGGCAACTCGGTCCAGATCCATTTATCGCGCACCAGGCGCGCGGGTTGGGGGCCGGTGAGGCGCTTGCAGATGATTGGGATGGCGATGTCGCAGTTTGAGGGGTTGAGGCCGAGCATGGGCGGGTCGGTGATTTTGACACATTGGGCTGCTGCGGCGAGGGCGGAGGGAAGGGTGAGGTTGTGGTTGTTGGTGGAGAGAGTGATTAGGTTGACGGGGGGGCTGTTGATGGTGAGGGATGAGATGGGGAGGGAGTGGAGGAGGAGGGAAGGAAAGAGAACAGTGGGCAGATGCATGGCGGGTTGGATTTGACTGCCGGGGCGAGGAATGTTTCGAGGATCATCAGAATTTACATACGTTTTTGAAGATGGTGAATAGACAGACCGAAACAGAAAGCGGAGTGAAGAGCGCGAGTCATACAAGGCGGGTAGAATGGCGATTCGACCGGGAAACCGTGTAGACGCCAGTAAAATACTACGAAGTGTTTTGCCGCCAGCAGAGCTCACGCGTAGACGCTTTCCCACCCCAATCAAAATGCGATATCATTTCTACCAAGCATTCGCAGACCAAGAAAAGCGGTGCAAACTGAAAAGGCTCGTCAACACCCTGAAGACTGTATAAAGTGGAAGAGCACGAATAGACAATCAAAACACCAAGCCACGGAAAACCACAAGACCAAAGATATAAAGATATCTCATAGACCTTCCGTTCCCGGACCGAATTGTCGAGAGTCGCCACCAAGATGTCCTTCCGACTTGGGCTTCAACCGCTCACGAGACCCGTGACGGCGCTCTGGCAGCTCCTTTGCCCTTTATTGTCGAAGGCGTACTAGTACAGGTGAGGCTGGCTTTGACGCCTTAGCTTCGGATGACTTTCATGGTTGTAGAGGGTCTGCAAGTGGGGAAAGCATGGTCTGGAAATGCCATACTTGAACAAGCCTAGAAGCTTTGTGAAGAATTTTCATTTTTGCAACTTTGCTATGATTAATGAACAGGAATTTTGTCTTACTGACGGTTTGTCTGTCAAGCATGTTGATGTGAATAGATTTCCATGTAAAGAAAGGAACTGTGTTGGGCGTGCAAAGCGTTGAACAAAGTGTTGGACATTCTCCTTCTTATGGTGCAAAAGGAAGGACACCTCATATCCCATTCCCGAGGCCTGAAAGTTTATTCGTTGCGCATAGTAATCCATCCAGACTCCTTTCTGGGGACACTCCGAACTCACAAGGCACGTCAATCATCCCATTTCCAGTCCATCACTCTCAATCTCCAATCCTTGGTGATACGCTTGCTTCGCCCATAGCGTTCAAGTACCTCACTAGCGTGCTCTATGTGCCAGTACACCCTCACGTTTCGTCTTAACCTCCAAAGTAATGGAGGAAGGGGTACAGCATTTTCCGAATCATGAGTATGTCCAGACCGAACTCTAAAGATTGGAACTTCTTCCGCGGAGTGGGGAAGTCTAGACCCGCTTCCCACAGGATCCTCAGAGTTGCTATCAACAACTTGCGTACGGGTCAAGGGGCTAGCTGTATGTTGTACTTACTCATAGATCTTGACGCCCATTGGTGGCTCACGTCAGACGAGGGATTGACTTTCGGTTTCAATGATATAGACCTGAGCCCAATTATAAGAAACAAAGTAACCATGCAGACAAAGAGTGTGGCTACCATTTGACAACCAGAGCAGTATCACGACGATGTTGTTCGTCGCAGGCTGATGAGTCCCTGGAGCATATGTTGGTGGTTGCATTTGGCCGAGTCGGGCAGCTCTCAAAGGAAAGACCACCTACCGTCGTAGTACCCAAGACGAGAACTTGCAGCACTTCGCTCTCATTACTCGGCCAACGCTGCCGACGTAGTGCCAATCCTCTTCCCCTTCACCGTCAACTCCTCAACGCGCCCCTCCATGTCTGCAAGATCAGACCTACGACATACTTCGGTTCCCTCAACCTTCCCTCCTCGGAATGCTTCGCTCCAACCACTTATACCGTCGCACAACCTTGTCCTTTTCACCATCAATCATCGGATAGAAAGCAGCATGATGCTCACAGCGATCTTCGATCTCATCTTCGGGATTAGGGTTTGGACCCTTAGTGATACCGCACGATGATAAGAGTGGCTGCGAAGTCAGCATGCTAACCCGAAGGGGACTGGCACCTTGGCACGTCTGAAGGGACTGAGGCAACTTGACGCGGATACTTTGTGTGCAGGCACGCAGGCGAGAAGGCGTCTGATATGACATGATCTCAACGCCGTTTTACGAGGCCTTCTCACTTGTGAAAGTAGGTATGTTTAGCACCTGAAATGCGGAGTTGCCCTAACGGTATTATTGATCGGTAACAACGGCTCTGTAGCTGCCCTGAGAGCTGGACTGCTGCCTAAATATTAAACGTTTGAGTTTCCATATCTCAGAGCATCCCTGAATTACGCGGCGCTGAGGCGAAAGCTTTGAAACTAGCTATCTTGAAGTAATATATAATCAAATAGGAGTTAGCAGCTACTGGGAAGGTGGCCGAGTGGTTATGGCGGGTGCCTCAAGTTTCAAAACTTTTCGACTTGATTTTAACAGGTTGGTACAAGCATCTGGTGAATTCCGCGTGGGTTCGAATCCCACCCTTCTCATTTTTTTTCCCCGTAGATATCGTTTATATTAGGAACGGTGAAAGGACTCCAAATCCAAAAAAATAGAAATTTTTTATACTATCGATATAGTAGTAAGCAATAATTATCGTACTCGTAAAGTCTTAATTAAATCGATACTATTTAAATATCTAGTATATTGACAATTAGTGTCTTTAATCCAGTTGGCTTCATCCTATCAACGTAATGTTCAGTGGATATTCTACGAATGGTCACATGATCTGTTTACAAGGCTGCGATGCTCTGGTACTGACTCTCACGCTGCTTTTGCCCACACCGGTGAAAATCACTGACGAGCATTCATGAAAGATCACGGCCACATAGTCCTTCGGAATCTCCGTCGGCGATTTCATCGCGGCCGATATTCCAATTAAGAATACCGTATCCACACTGCAGACCTCGTCGACGTCAGAACATCAAGAGCTCCTCTTCGAGCTGAACGGACTCCGCGTGCACTTGATGAGATCGTAGATCTGCAAGCTGATAACCAGCAAGAGACTGAAGTGAATGCTGTCAAAGTCCCTGCTCTTGCGTCACATCATCGGTTGGATGATTTGGCAGGGAAGTTGAGGCCTTACGAGAGTCTCCAAATTATGGCGGCTTAAACTACAGTGGGGGTTCAGTATGGAAACAGAGGTACAGAGCTTGCGGGCTTATTTGGTTGCGCATGTGGGGTACTTGAATATGCGGTTGGCGACTTTGAATCTGTAAGCGGCTACTTTGTTGTACGACAAGATTGACACTGAGGATATCTAGTACATTGTCCTGGCATGTCTCTAAAGAGATCGCGCAGCAACAGATGACTTTGGAGAAACACATTGCCGATTCGCGAGAGGCGGCCTCGAACGTTTCAAGTGAGCTGGCAGCTTAGAGCTATGTGACACAAGAAAGTAGTTCGGTAGGCGCAGAGGCTCACCAATCTACTCAGTTGGTGCGATTTAGCGCATGGATTGAAAATATTTACTCTAAGGCTACGGCATCTGTCTGTCGCCTCAGGTTGCCATGCTGGTGGATCTAGTCAGCCAGATATGGACCACGGACAAGCAGATAATAGATATTCTGATGCGGCAAAATAGCACCACTTCAGCTCCAGACCTACAACATACATGGTTCCAACAATTCTATCAAAATCGATGTTGCTCTGGGCCGGATTCTGCCAGTCCCGTCCGAGTACAATCTACAGGTATTTGGCCTTCGCAATTTCGAGAGGACGAGGCGCTGACCACCCAGACAGAAGATCAACGCGATCGTACTTGACCAATTCAAAGTGGGATCTGCTTACGAGAAAGTATCCTGTGGCGAATACGAGCTTTTCAACGGCATCGACTCAAGACAACCACTATCTGACTCTGGATTAGGAACGCTTGTCTCTGGCGTGACCATCACCATGGCTTTCGTAATCGGACTATACGAGCAGCAGCCGGTGATGAAGTATTCGAGGCCGGGATGTCAGATACGAGAGTTCACCACGCTCGCTACCGGAGGCCGGAGATGTTACCCATTCCCTCTATTTTATTCTAAGTTTACAATACTGAACTAACCTTGATAGTGCCACATGCAGCGTCTGGTTCGACATCTCTAGAACCAATCTTTCACGGCCATTCCAACTTCCTGCCGCGGAAGACGTATCTAAACCGATTCGTGCCGAGAGGAAGTGGTTTAAGAATGTGCGGCTCTTCCCAAACGAAATCTCAAGTCTGCCTCTCAGAGCCGACGAATCTGGGCAATATGGTAGGTGTGCCAACGTAGAGAGGGTTTTTCCAATACAACCCACCAAGGACGGAATTCTGGAGAATCGTGTGACTCACCCTAGCCCATACAGAGCATTCGAATCTCTACCACCCTTCCCTAGAATTGATGTGTCGCAAGAGATTGCAATCAGAGCCATGAGAGCCATTGGAGATACTGCGGAGTGACCGTGGATGATCTTCGAGAGATATGCGGTAACGATCCCGATTTCATTGACTCTCTGGGCTTGGATTCGTTCTTGAGCATAAAAGTCATTAGCACCATAACAAAGCTTGGAGTCGAAGTACCAAAATCCGCCACAGGCTCCTACCTTGTGTAGGAAGTCTCTGAGAGCTTTCTTGTGTCTTTCATCTTGTATTACATTGATGTGGTGGACCAGGTGGGGTCATGTAATCGACTCGTCATAGAGGTTGGACTTGATCGGAGGATAGAGGAAGGGGCTCTCTCGAAGTTGGGCTGGTCGAAGAGCGTCCTACTCTGACGGTTTCAACTCCGTGAGACATCTCCCATGGCGCTGTCGCCAGGGGAACGAGGATCTACTTCCAGAAGTCATCAATTCTTCCTCCTTGCTCTTTCCTTTTCCGCACCTCAACCAGCTCTCCAGCCAGCTCTATCTTCGTTTCCTTTTTTGAAAAGTCGCCAGGATATTGGAATTGTCGGCGTAACAAATGGTGGAATTCGGAGTACTTATCCTGGAGATATCGGGCAGATTACATTTTCATACCCCAAATTATGGATTTCTTACATTATCATACCCCATTTTGCATTTTCATACCTCTCAACAAAATTTGAGGTACGGATTTGTAAGATGCCGTCCTCATGGGGTGGTCGCCGTTGAAGTCGATTTCCTGGCTTCGTTCTTCTCGAGCTGGACACTGATACTCCACTTCCCACCACGTCGAGGAGCACCGAGCTTCTAGCGTGCCCATAGCACGACGACTGGAATCAAGATCGTAAGGGGAATCGTGATGCCAACCACTACCCATAGTTTGGTGGTTCCTATATGCCGTGTGGTGGTCTTATTAGACCAGGACGCGAAGTATGGCAGGTCATTACTGGAAAAGAGATGGAGCATGGGACCGTCGTAGTCTGCATGGCGCAGGTATTATAGTCCAGACCATACCATACCGGGACCTCAACCGTTTGTATACAACTGGGCCCTTGACGTTCCTCGAGACCTTGTGTTGGGGCTAAATCACCATGGACGTCTTTGGGGAATGGAAAGAAAGCTGCTGTTGGACTTTGAACGATGATGATATTGTTCGAGGTGGAGAACGTGGACAGTAACATGGCTACAGTGCTTGTGTTTCTTGACAAGACTCGATGAAGAAGGTCCTAGTGTGAATTTTTGGGAACTGTTGGAAAGATGTGTATGAAAAACCAGGTATGAACGTAAGAAGAATGTTTTCAAGCTCCTCAAATAGCAAGTAGAGGAACACTTCCAACACTCGGTAAGTCCTAAAGTGTTCAACCATGCTCATGCAGCTCATATCCAGTATACATAACACAACACACTGTAGTGTGCAAGAAAGTCACCATTCACTTGGCGCTGGGCGAATCTAAGTCCATACACCCAAGTGACGCACTTTCTCCACCTTTTCATAAACCACATCCCACTCATTACTGGGATTGCAGAAGGCTCCCGCATGTTTCAGAAGGTGGAATAAGCCCTTCGAATACCGAGATGCTGCCAACCGAGTCCCGCGGATGAGGTGGATATTCTGCAGCCGTAGTGGTCTCAAGCTTCTTCGGGAATCCCGCGAGCCCGTGCTGCTGAGACTGCAATGTAGATAAAGTCGGACTCCGCAAATCCTGGAGTCTGTTCGATGCCAGAAACGGGTCTAGTGGACGTGTTCGTCCGTTAGTAATAGAAGGATAATCAGTCTCATCGACGCAGGAGAGACTGTATCTCTCCCACCAAGGCTGCAGATCTTAATATGGAAGGCATTACTTCATTTTATGTGTATAAGGAGGTGTTATTCGAAAATATGCCATCCCTTCCTTCCTGTTCGTTTAGAAGATACTAAGTCGGTTAAGCTCTTTCATACTCTGGCAGCCAGTAGATATACTCTCATACCCGTGACAGAGACCCTTGCAATACCATCAGGATGGACGAGATTCTGCTCGTCGTTCCTAATCTTGAATCTCTCGATGCCGAGGCCGGAAGACGCCAGAGCTTGCATGAAGATGGCAACCAAGTGCCCTCCATAGCCTTCATGTGGGTCGTGCTCCACGACTGCTGCAATCTTGGTGACATCTGGCCCCTCGTCATGTTAATCGTATTCACTGTATTCGTCTCCTTCTTGCACTTCGCGGAGATTGTTGTCGTCTGTGGTAGGTGGCCGGGGCTCTGCATGCCAATGACGAGCGCCGACACACAGTTGCTGATCAGCAAATGGAACGGAGTCTTCCCTACCGAGTGAGGCTGCCTTTGCGGATTTGGAAACATATACTTGAGGTTCGACGTCGAGTGTCGTCTTTAATCACATTAGCTATGGTGACGTGGAAAAGTTGGCTGAGGGTGTCAGTAGGGGTGAGACAGCCAACTATCTAGACCAAACCTTCTATTGCGAAGCGTTCCATGGTGTGGTAGCTTGATGGGATCTTAAAGAGTAGCCTCTGCGCTTCCTGCTGCTGGAATGTTCAACTGGTGTGCTGGAAGTAGGCAAAGGAGTGATCTACAGTGTCCTTGTTACTGACAGGCCAGGACTAGTGAGCTGGACACCTTCCGAAATCAACAGTATATTTCCAAATCTAGACGCTATTTGGGAGCGGATGTTGGGTTTTCCTTAGACGTAGAGTACTGGTCTCCAGGGGTGACTCGGTTTAGCAAGGGTTTAGCGCGAGCAACCATCAAACTCTCCTATCCAATCACTCTCTCCCTTATGATTTCTTGGCCCGTTCCCAATAGTAAGCCATGTGCACCCCCACGCAGTCTCCTATATCTGAGAGAAAGTCTTCTACCTCCTCACTGCCTCTCACGCCTGTTCTCTCGCTCTTGCCTCTCCCTTCTTTCATCCCTCTCTTGTCTCTCGCATCTATCTTCCCTCTCAATCCTATCCTCTCTCTCCTGTCTTTCACCTGCACATTTCAGATTTAGCAAGGCTTCTTTGAAGCAGATTACTCAGGAAATAAGACAAGTTCAACAGTCGAAAGCGCTCGCGAGACATGTCTTGCGGCTCAAAACCAAGAGTTCGATCGGGGGAAGTGTTCTCCGAAATATGAACATACGTCGATCTTCCTTTTCCTGCCTTCTCCATCGATTTTCCCGCGCTTCTCGTACCTAAAATCCATCGTCCCCATGGGTGGGTGCACCGGGCGCGTGCACTCGCGCTGGGGCCGTGACCAGTCGAAATTTCTCCCCAGCGTCTTCATCTTCCGGGAAAGCTCCTGGAATATCGAATGCTCTTTCTCGCGCCCAGGAACCTTCACGCCGTCGAACTGGAAGTTGTTCCCTGCTTTCTATTGGCGAGTCTGTCATCGCTCGAACAGGAGAACGCGGTAACTGTCCTGACGCAACGCCGCGGTCCCAGTTCCCCACATTCCAGAAGCTGAAACCCCCAGGTAGCTCGGGTGTAGGTGCCCTGAGAGGCGGCGCAGGGGGTTCACCGCGTCTTCTATTCTGTGGTGGCATACCGCCGTTCGGTGGAGGATCGAACTGAGGGTCACGGCATTCAGAAGACCGCTGTGAGCTTCGAGCTACTCCTATTACTGGTGGTACGGGATCTGAATGTCGTTGAGAATCTAGACCAGGGAGTGGTTGCATGTAATGATGCGAGTCAATATAGATGTTATTGTTGATGATGACAGAAGATCCTGAGGGCCTGCTGATTATGATATGGTTACCGTGAGGTTGAGTGCTTTCGCCCTTTACAATGTCCGGGCGCCGTCCTCTGCTCCTTGCATCATCTGCTCCGCTGCTGCTTCTATCATTACCGCTCGCCCGGCCTGGACGCTGAGGAGGTAGGTCTTCGAGAGGAACCTCTTCACTGTGTAAACGGCGATTCCGGGAACGGCTTTTCATCAACCGAGCAAACAAGAATTGCGGGCAGAAGAGCGGCAAAAAGACCACGCCAACAGCGAGAACGGTGCCAATAGCAATTGCTGCTATTGTACCGCCAGACAAGTTGCCAGATGATGACTGGCTTGAGAAAGGGTCATCATGGGAGTGTACACTGCTGGCTCATTGCGTAGTCGCCATGATGGATGTTTGATATGCGTCTTTTGAGGCTGGACAAGCGGTAGATGGTATGAAGGCTCCGCAGGGGAGGATGATCTCGGCAGTTTGCAGAGTACAGGTGTCATATAACAGCCATCCTAGCGTGGACGGTGCACAAGTGTTGTAGGGGGTGGAGTAAACACCATATCGGGGATGGCAGGGGACGGTTTGACAGAAGCAGTACTGTTGCATAGACTACTGAAACCAGCTAGTACTATCAACATCGTTACCATTGTATGATACCATAATCGCAACGGAATGAGGACGCGCCATCGGCGCTTGCAAGTTGCTCAGCAATTCGCACCACGTTCCGATTGTTGTTATCGGTGCTTGCTAGCTTCAACACAGAAACTCCTGAAAGGAACTAGTGACTCACGGTATTTGGTGATGCTCTACTTCTACATAGTAGAGGTACAAAAAGAACAGCCCGGCCGTCATTGTCACTCCTACCATTATCCGGACCGTCATTTAGCAAGCAGCATTAAGAGATTTGACCACACCGCTCGCAATCCTGGTCGCTAGACCCTCAACGAGGTTGGCCTTCGCGAGCCACTAATGGCCAAAAGACGAGAGTTTGAGCTGAACATCTTCGGGGGCAGAATCCAGCATAACGCAAGTCCTCTATTCGCAGTCCGGAGGCCAGGAAATCCTTGTGATTTGCTATACCATATCTCCCATGGATGGAGCACTGTTGACACATGCTGTATTTGTCACAGTGCATGCCACGCGGTGAAGTACAGCTGGCAAACAGCGGGTGCAAACTTTCTCAAGAATAATAGCGACCTTCGCTCTCCCCAGCCCCGTAACGCACTGGCGAAGTCGAAGATCGAATCTGGACGGACTGCTACAAGGATTTCCATCCCCCATCTTGTTTCTTTTCATCATCTTTTCCTGGAGAATGAGGCTCTGATCGAGTAGAGAAAATTGAAAGCAGAACAGGAGAGAGTATCTCCAGTGCATTGTGGTATGACGTATAGCATATCATTTCGTTCTCCAACTGTGTAGTGATTCAGCACACCACTCATCTATCGAATAATCGTTGCAACATGCGAGCCTCGCTGTAAACAAGTATTGCTATCTCATGACCTTCTCCTTTGCTTCGAGGTGGCAGTGTCGGCGACGCTGGCCAGTGGTTCTGGAAGATCGATAGATACCGTCCCGTTGCCTGTCTCCAGACTTGTCCCATTGGCTTCTTCTCCCGAATCCGGGTTCACCCACCAAGGCACACGATTCCCTCTCGGCTGCATCCTCTCCCCTTGCCGCAACAGTCGTTCCGCACGCTCACGGAGATCAATTCTTTCACGTAAAGTAAATGCTCGGTCAATTGCGCGTAGTGCAACTTGCGAGAAGTGGAAGGCCATGACGGGATCATAGTTTCCGGGGGACAGCCAGTCGGGGACTACTTGGGCGAGGGTAACTGTGAGGAAGGCGGTGGACGTTGCTGGAGAAGTTTAGAACATCAGCCGCGGATCGAAGTCTCTCTCCGATGCAAAGGAGATTTAGGTAAGACGTACGGAATGGTCTATCCAGTTCAGTCTCTTCAGCCGTGATCCAGCCATTCATGACCTGGAGATCAGTCGTTGCGAAGCCGCCAATTTCGAAAGGGCCAGTGACGCATGAGTTCAGCACTTCATCTGCCAAATGGCGGATTTCGTCGGGGATGATATCGTAGGTTCGGGGCAAGCGCGGACCAGCTACGTCGACTTGGATCATACATGTACCTGAAACCCATTCAGGATATTAGGCAAGGTTCAAAAAGCCTGGTATAGAGACTGACCGTATGATCTACTCAAGGGTAAGGCGTGTGGTCCAATACCACTGTGGACTGCGTATGAGACATCGGTGTTCCCCTTCTCAAGAAGAGCAATAGCTTTGACGCAGTCACGGCTGTTGGGGAACAAGCCGTAGTACTCTTGACAGTACGAGTATCCTCCAATATCCTGAAGAGTTGATGAGAGGTTTTGACTCGCCAGAGCCAGAAGCGAGGAAGTGAGATTCATTTTGACCACTTGAATCTAAGATGTATCTGATCAGCGAAGAAGCTAGATGGACTACCTATCATCTTCGATACGTGGGGAAAGCTGAAGATATAATCGGGAGTTTTGGCAGCGCATATACAGGTGCTTAAGGTGGACCACGCATAGAATGAGTCCAATTAGCGACATCCCCTCTGTTGCGTGTGGATGCGATACGCGAGGTGATACCAGTCATGTGGTTCACGTTGAACAGCATGTTCAGTCAGCGACGGTTTCCCAATGATCTTGTGGCGGATTTATGCCCTACGTCAAGATAGCATCAAAGTAGCAAGTCTGGACCGCGATCCACCAATGAAGGCGCCACTTATTAGCAGTAGCAGGAGCAGGAGCAGGAGCAGTAGCAGTAGTAAGAGCCATAAGTGCTTTTGGTGTCTATACTGAAAGTCAGCTCAGATGATAGCCCAGGCAGAACAGCATGAGATGACATATGACACGCTGCCAAACGTGGAGATCTGATTAAGGTTTAGCGTGAAGAGGCACACATGTCGTCTTGCATCCGATGCAAAGCCTAGTGTACAACTCCTTCACCCCCACACTAGATGTACATCGAAAATACTTCTCCGATTGACGGTTATATTGGTTGTACGGACAATAGACCAAATGATCCACCTGGTTCGAACGATCTGACCCTATCCCGCTCCAATAGTGGCGGCGCCGCCAGTACCTGCATCTGGCCTTACGTCCGCCCAAAAATATGAAGACGGCCAGCTCTGTAACGATGTCGAATGCAACGAAGCAAGGATATCTGGACTTGATGCCCTGTATGTACCCATACTTTACGTTATCGCTAGTCATGGCCCCACTAGTGGTGGGGTCAATCTCGGAAGAGTTGGATAAATAGCCACACAATCCACTCTCCTCTCTTTCTTCCAAAAAATCAACACACCTTTTTTCGGAAGCACAACGGAAGATAATCCTCTTTTCCTCCTCTACCTTCAGATCGCACCTTGAAGTGCGGTCACAAACACCGGCAAGACGTATTCCAACTTGTTAAATTCGTATGTTCCCCTCTTCCCAATTGAACTCCTGCTATGTGGGACAAGTCCACTCTATCCGTGCAAGGCTATACACACAAAGCAACTAGCCCAATGCAATGGTCACTGACAGCTCCTCCCAATAGTGTTCATCACCCCTATAACGGAGGCCGACGCTCTTCCGCCCCAGGAGGTGCATCGGACTCGCCCTACACTAGATAAGAAAGATCCTTGATCAAGACTATCAACATCAACCCGCAAATATGGCTCCTCACGCAGAAGGTCCCAATGGATACACCAATGGTACCGGGCATACTACAGTGGCCAACGAGCACAAGGACCTCTTCACTGTCGACTCGCCCAACGTCGATTACACGGACAATGAGATCAAGAGCAAGTACGTCTACCGTACGACTTCCGTCTCTCAAGCTGGGGATGGCAAGTACGTTGCTACCCCAAAAGAGACGGTCTATGACTTCAAGGTCGAACGTAAGGTGGGAAAGGTCGGAATGATGCTGGTCGGTTGGGGCGGAAACAATGGCACCACCGTCACCGCAGGCATTATCGCCAATCGCCGGGGTTTGGTCTGGGATACTCGTGAAGGACCTCGTGCTGCCAACTACTATGGCTCTGTTGTCATGAGCTCGACCATGAAGCTTGGTACAGAAGCGAACACTGGCAAAGAGATCAACATCCCGTTCCATGATGTTCTGCCCATGGTTCACCCGAACGACCTTGTGATAGGCGGATGGGATATCAGTGGTATGAATTTGGCTCAGGCCATGGACAGAGCGGCTGTGCTGGAGCCTACATTGAAGGGCATGGTCAAAAAAGAGATGGCCGAGATGAAGCCTCTTCCCAGTATCTACTACCCAGACTTCATTGCGGCGAATCAGGGAGAGCGTGCCGACAACTGCCTTGAGGGCTCCAAAGCCAGTATGGCTCATGTCGAATTGCTGCGCAAAGACATTCGGTATGGACTACCGCCTTCCAGCCATGCTACTGTGACTGACGAGCGAACAGCGATTTCAAAGAAGTTCATGGCCTAGACAAAGTCATCGTGCAGTGGACTGCCAACACCGAGCGTTACGCTGATCTCGTCGAGGGTGTGAACGACACTGCTGAGAATCTGATGAAAGCCGTCGAATCTGGACACGAGGAGGTCTCTCCATCCACTGTCTTCGCAATTGCTTGCATTCTCGAGAACGCACCTTTCATCAACGGTTCGCCTCAAAACACCTTTGTTCCCGGTGCTATCGAACTTGCTGAGAAGCACGGTGCCTTCATTGGTGGCGATGACTTCAAGTCGGGCCAGACCAAGATGAAGTCCGCCTTGGTGGATTTCATGATCAACGCGGGGATCAAAATCACCTCGATCGCCAGCTACAACCACCTGGGCAACAATGACGGCATGAACTTGAGCTCCCAGAAGCAGTTCCGATCCAAGGAGATCTCAAAATCCAACGTTGTTGACGACATGGTCGAAGCGAACAATGTGCTCTACAAGCCTGGAGAGCATCCTAACCACACTGTGGTCATCAAGTACATGCCAGCCGTTGGAGATAATAAGCGCGCACTTGATGAATACTATGCAGAGATCTTCATGGGTGGACATCAGACCATCAGCTTGTTCAATGTCTGCGAGGACTCGCTCTTGGCTTCTCCGCTGATTATCGATCTTGTTATCGTTGCTGAGATGATGACTCGTATCACCTGGAAGGCCAGCGAAGGTGACGGGGCTGCTACGAAGGACTACAAGGGCTTCCACAGCGTGCTTAGCATCCTGAGTTACATGCTGAAGGTAAGACTTCTGAATCCCTTTTTTTTAAATACTTTGACTGACTTCCTTAGGCTCCTTTGACCCCTCCAGGCACGCCAGTTGTCAATGCCCTGGCCAAGCAGCGTGGGGCCTTGACCAACATCTTCCGCGCTTGTGTTGGTCTCCAGCCAGAGTCTGATATGACACTGGAGCACAAAATGTTCTAAGCCCGCTTCATGGACTGGTTTTGATGTAGGATGTGCTGAGAAGTGGATGGCGATTATAGGACGCGACGAGTGGCCTTGCAGTTGTAGGTTGAGGCTCCCTTAGTACTCTCGTTTAGGCTCAAGGAAGATGCCCCCTGACTCGATCTGCAATGACTGAAATACATGCTTGATGCTCTGATTTCGTTGTGACGTCCTCCACGTTTGCCCTATAAATTAGCGCCAAATGCGGCCGAGATATCGGATGAATGCAATGAACTCCACCATCATTTATCCATCACTCTCCAACTGCTGGCGCAAAGACTCTATTGTTCTCTTCCCATACTTTTCATTAGTATCAAACCTTTCGATCCCCGCCAATGGCACCGCAAATAGCCTCCATCCAATCGTTCTTCCAGCCAGAAACTCCCTCTGCTCAGAAAACGCAAAAGCCAGCACCGCAGCATCGTCGACTTTCTGATACCGGCGATGGCTTCTCCTCCTCCGAGATCGAGGCCGCTCTTCACCCTGCATTGCACAAATGGCAGCCACGCACAACGTACAACGAGACTGACATTGGCGATCTGGTCCCTGGCCCAGGTTGCGTAGCGCTGATGGGCAGGATCGTCAATTTCCATCACATCGCGACACCTAGCAAGATGCCCAAGGCTGCCCAGGGATGCTTGAAGCTTGCTGTCAAAGACGATACTGGAGCCTGCTCAGTGAATACCCCTCCATCAAGTCTACTTGCCCTGAGCCACCCACTTACAGACACGCACAGGTGAAGCTCTGGTACGCAAAAGTTGACTACAATCTCCGTCTCGGCCTGCTCGTCTCAATCTGGACACCTCACGTCTCCAACGCGGAGTCCAGCTCCTTGACTGTGCAAGACACATCTCTCGTCACCTCCATCTTTCCCGAACGAGACAACAGCTGCTACTTCCTGGCGCAAGAACAGAGCGATGATAGCGTGATGTGCAAGACTCCGTTGGGCTATCGCGATGGCAAACAGCTGGATGGGTTGATGACGTTGAAGAGCTTTATCGAGGGAGGTCATGAGCTTGCGGACGGGAAGATTCTGGTATGTGTGAAGAGTATTGGGGGGAGAAAGAAGTGTGAGGATTGCCCTGCTCCAAGGACAGAAGACGAACACGGTGGGCTGACCGTCTTCCTAGTCGTCACCAAGAAAGGCCAAGAAGCTGAGAAAGTGGACGTCAACGTGTTTGACGACACGGCAGATGCCAAACTCACCCTCTGGGGGCCCCACTGTTCCTCTCCGGCCTACTGGAAGACATCGTACACAGTCCTTCTCGTCACGCGCCCTGGCTTATACGGTGACGGGAGACCACTACTCTCGCTGACCAATAATACCCATGTGGATGTTGACCCGTGCATGACGGATGCGTACTGGCTGAGGGGCCATGCGCAGAGATTGACGAAGAGGGAGCATGTGAATCAGCCGTTTCCGGAGGGTGGTATGTGTCTCGGTCGGTGGGGTTAGGTGGGGCTGATGGGGACAGTGTTTGATGTTGAGGAGGCTGCGGAGTCGGAGCTGAGGATTGTGTTTACGTTGGCCGATATCGATGAGTTGTAGGTAGGCATCACGCTCAAGCTCCCGCGTGTTCTAACAGAATGGTAGTGTTCGAGCAGCACCGGCGGGTCAAACAAATTTTCTCACTTTGGACAGACGGCTTCTGATGCTTCCTAGAGCGCTACGTCGGATATCTCAGCCTGACGATTGTTGAATTGAACATCTACTCGCTTTATCAACGCAACATGCTACTGTGCACTGAGTGGTGAGGTCAGCGGAGATTGCTAATAGCCGTTCGCTGATTGCCGTCAAAGCTGCGGTGTCCCGATCTTCGCCAACGCTATCACCACAAAGTGCAAGCAGTGCGAGAAAGACTTGGTCCTGCGCATCAATCCGCGCTTGGTACGCCCACTTTTGACGCCAAATGCAGCCCCCGATCCTCTCGCACCGCTAATCGACATATTTCCAGGTGGGACTCCTGATAGATGAAACCGGCGCCATCACCTGCGGCAAGCTCGTATGGTCTGACGACGCATGGGGACAGCTCCTGGGCCGCACTGCAGAAGAGCTGGCTGGTTCGAATCTGACGCTGCTGAAGTATCTGGAGAACCGTTTGCTATTCTTGAAGCTTGCTGTTATGTTCGGGTGGAGTGAGGATGTGGGCAAGCTATGCGTTCTAAGGGTTACAATTGTCTGAAGAGATAGGAATATTACCCGCGAGGCTGGCTTGGACTGAGCTGAAGATGTATGGGAAAGGTATCTCGCTTTTATGTTCGGCTCATGTGCTCAGCGACGCCGGTTTTCGTCATTAAGAACGTTCAGAAACAGATCTGGAATCCTTTTGCTTGCTGTAACGGTATCCAAGAGAATGGAGTCCACAGTTTGAATTGGAATGCCAGTTGCAGATTCTGAACTTCTGCTGTAGTTGTAGAAAAGAAGACAGACGTTAGGAGCCTTCGCAGCCCGGAATGTACATCATGGAAGTGTCACTGCGAGATGTCATCAGTGTTGTTAGTATGTCGTATAGTGTGATGCTCCAGCTGTGATTTCGTCTGCTATGGAGCGGAATTTTGAAGAACGATGATGCTATCATTAGTGAGTCGTGGGTCCATGGAATCATGGCTTTTCAGCGCGACTTAAGTAGTTGTGGCCCACACTTGCCCAACACTTTACCTCTCATCCCATCTTGAGTAACTAACGCCACAGGTCGCGGGAATCGCTTGCCTCCATATCGGACCTTGGTACCTATTTTTATTTAAGGAGACAGGTCTAGAGACTTGCAACGACACGGAAGAGCAGCACTTCTGTCAGGGATCTTTGATACTACTCCGTGGAAACGGAGATACAATAGTACTGCTGAGTCAAGATATACATTTGAGTGCATCTGCAGCTAGCGCGGTGAGTTCCCGGAGATGAGAAAGGAGTCTCGTTTGTATCTGGTATTTGGCGCTTAGACTGTGGCAGGGTCGGCAGGCAGGAAAAACCCCACCGAATCATCTTTTTAGGTCTAAGAATATAGAAAAGGCACAGCTTCACATATGCCCACTTCCTCCAGGCGTACCTCCTCCCCTCCAAGACTGCCATACCTCGACGCCGACGAAGCACGTGTCCCATATCTGAGCCTGACCCTAACCTAACCACCTTGACCGGTCGACCTGAGAATGGGGATTTCATATGGAGTCTCGTGGAAGCAAACACTGTGGACGGCCACTCACGGTGCAGAACATTATTCGATTGTATCGATTTAAAGGTTGGAGGGTTGTACGCGCAGCTGCCCCTATTGAAACGTGGCTCCGAAAGATGAGCTGAGCCAGCAAATGTTTCTTATCGGGATACACATGTCACTCCCACTGTAAAGGACATTCTGCACATTGGACCATGCCAACGTCTCCTACAGGAGTTCGCGTTTCGGAGTCGAGTGTTGATGTTAAGATTGACGGGATGAAGTTGGACGCGAGGATCTTCAGGGGTATCTCCGTTTGGATCAACAAGCTTTACGCCAAGACGAGCTGCCGCTATCCCTTGCATTAGTGCGGTTGACCTGCAGGAGACGGCAGTACTAAAGTACGGAACCAAGAAAATATTGAATTTGCTGCAGTTGGAGACTCGGGAATAAAAGAAGGAGATTTGATGACATTCAAAGAAAGCCAAGCAAATATCCACATTCACCCCCCACATCTGCTACTTGTTTACTTGTCGTCGAGGTAGATGAAGTAGCTATCTTCAAAAGGAGACCAAGTGCCTACTTTATTACTACTTTTATTCTCTCCAGGTTGCCATAATTTCCTGTCAGTCTGTCAGATTGTCGAGAAGCGCCAAGCTTCGATCGTATCAAAAACCTAGACGAACTCGGTTAGTGGCGTGCCTCAAAGGGATTGCTCCACCCTCCATCTCTGCATTTCTGTTCTTCAAATTCCTCAGCAGCACAGCTTCAACAGCGTGTTCGTAGAGCAGTGGAGATTGATTGACGTCTCTCCTTCAACGTCCAGACAGCCAATCCTTCCTTCTCTAGAGCCAAAGGCTCGACACTCACCTTCATTTCCCTTGGGCGTCAATGGCCCAATGAATGACCTCCCATCCCTCGCTCCTGTCAATCCACTCGGCGCCTACAGTAAATCCTACCTCGACGGCCACAAACAATCGTCATACATCCACATAGTATCGATTCATCACATCTACAGAGAGCAAGCAGGTTGGCATTCTGGGGGTCACGGATCGACGCATGTTTGTGCACCAACAACACGAGAGCATTCCTCGACGCGGGTCTTAGTGTGGGACAGAGATGACAAGCAAACATGGCAAACACAACCCGTGCGTCAGGCTTCTTACCATCAATCAAATGCTCAAACTGCAATGTCGAGATCCCTATCTCAATGATGGGAGACCATGTCTGCTCTCAAGGTACCTATCACCCCTCGACGGAAGCTTCTTCAACATACTAATCATACCGCAGCTCCCCCTCTTCCCAGCTCTCGACTCCATGCTTTGAATGGCCCTTTTGCACCAACGACTCTGAAACATACAATGGGTGCTCCCCTTTCCAGGCCCCAGAAGCCCATACCTCCACGGCTTAATGCCGCTGCTACATGTATGTGACCGGATCCGCTCACATACACACATAGAATCCTCGAGCTGACTATATCATCAAAGTCGATTCAATCCTCCAAGCAGACCAGCATTTGCCAGAGTCAATGGCCGTGCATACCGCGCGGAGTGCGTCACCTGCAATCCACAGCAACGGCACCAAATCTCCATTCAGAATGCCCTTACTTCGAAGCTCCACCTCTCCATTGCCAAGTCGTCCAGTATCGCCGGTATTACCCATGCCCCAGGACTGTGCTTTCCCTCCCTTCCCGACGGCCAGGTCACAAAGTACTACTCCCACTACACCATTGGAATCAAGCTTCAACTTTCCCTCGAGATCGGGCAGTCCCCAGGAACAGATCGGTGCAGTTGCTAGGCACGCGCCATTGAACTCACCAGCGAGTGGTGGTGGAATTCTGATGCAGAGGATGAACGGCATCGCGCCAGGCCCTTTCAACCTTAGAGAAAATGGGGACTTTAATCCATCAGGTCACAGGAAGTCGCCCTCCATGGGCAGCAGTCGCGATTTCGTCAGAACCTCGAGATCGGCCAGTCCCAAAAGACATGTCCAGCGGCCGTCGACTTCAAGTTCGAATTACACACGCAATCCTTCTCTTTCAAGCATCTCGGCTGGGCCTAGATCCTTATCAAACCAAGGTACAACAGAAGTGCCCGTTATACCGTCGATGCCCAGACCATACTTCCAAGACAAGTCCGACGGCTCAGCACATGTGCCTCTACCATCTTTTGACTTCGGTTCCTTCGGACATGAGGACCGCTCGCATACACTCCCAAAGAACGATCGTGACGCTGCTCCCTTCAAATCTCGCCCGAAAATGGATAAGACACATTCAGAGCCTTCGGTTCACTCACACAAACCTAGACCTTCTGTTGCTGTTGCTGCCATGCAACCTCTTTGCGAAATCGGTAGTACCAGCTCTTTCAAGCCTTCTCGATCAGTGCGAGGTCGTGCCGTCTCCCCAGCCGTAGGTCAAACCGGCCCTGAGCAGTCTGTGAACCACCACGCCACTGAATCACGGGATGATCGAAGGCTTGGGGATGCACCTCCTGTACCCATGCCTGCCCAAGCCGCAGAAATCTTGGTGCATGACAATCCCAACCATAAGCCACACGAGTCGACCTCATCCAACGAATCTTACGGCTCTGGGGCGAAGAGTGGCAGCTCGGTTTCCACGCCGCACGAATCGACCTCATCCAACGAATCCTACAGCTTTGGTATGAAGGGTGACAGCTCGAGGTCTAGTCCGCCACTCAATGAGTTGCCAAAACATGGGAATGCACACGCTTCTGGTGATAATCAAGCCAGCAGTATGTTCAAGGGTTTCGTTTTCGGCGTCGAAGAGCCGATACCAATGCAATATGAACAAACTGCGGGTCACCTTCAGTCATCTCGAATGGAATCTCCAGCCCCACTCCGTCCAATGAAGGCTACCTTTCCTCCACATGAAGATGGATCAGTCCGAAATCGTTCGTCTGCTACATCTCCAGACGAGTACACAGTTTCTTCCTTCGCTCCCCAAATGAACAACCTTCGTGTCTCTCCAGCACCTCCAGCTCATCCCAGGTACCCAAACCCATCAGCTCGACGACCATCACCCGCCAACAAAGGTAACTGCCGTGGTTGTGGAGCCTTCATCCAAGGGAAATCTGTCAGCTCAGCGGATGGACGGCTTACTGGACGATATCACAAGCAATGCTTCGTGTGCCAAACGTGTCAACGACCTTTTCCGACGGCAGACTTCTACGTCATGAACAATCAACCATACTGCGCGCGACACTATCACGAGCTCAATGATTCGCTGTGCACGAATTGCGATCGCGGCATCGAGGGACAGTACCTGGAGACTGAGTTGCAGCAGAAATTCCACCCTTATTGCTTCAGCTGTCAGGACTGTCATCTAATACTCCGAGACGACTATTTCGAGTTCAACGGCAAGACGCTGTGCGAGCAACACGCCTTTGGCGCCGCACGCACATCAACGCCATCTTCCCTGGGCCCTGGACGCCGGTTCCCCGAAAGAAGAACCACACGCCTCATGATGATGTGATTTGCATAATCCTTAATATCATAGTGATACCGCTAATACTTCCATGCCATCTATCTGATTCCTTGCATTTACAAAGCCTTATACCCTTCCAGACGAGCGTTGATTTTCCCCTTCCCAATGTATAAAACTAAATCCTAATGTTTATATCTTGCACCCTTGGTGGGCGTTTCCGTTTCCGTGAAACACGGCTTGCCGCAGCTTCTGGTTTCGAGGAGAGCATGTACTGGAGCATTTGCAGCGGTCCCATGTGACGTGGTGTTTGACACCCAAGGTTCCCGAGGCACACCTTGGTTAAGCCGGTGTGACGTGGAGAATGGATTAATTAGTTCGGAGATTATTCATCCAGTAATACTCATGCTTGACTACTACCTACATGCCCCGTTTTGAAATGCCATCCGTCTTGCCTCGCCGTCTGCAGTGAACGTGCATCAACCCCACCCCACCAATACACATCCACAGGCTGACTGCTACACCGGGAACCAGAAGCCGACGCCAGGGATACTCGTCGAAAGCGACGGGAGCCGAGCTGGGTCTCACAAACACT